ATTTAATGTTATACATCTATATATGGAAATAATTTAAATTCTCTTATAAATTTAACACAACTATTACAATCTCTTTCTACTTTTTTTAAAAAGAATGGATTCTTTTTTACCATTTTAGGTACTTCTCCACATTTTTTATTAATAAAAACGAACTTCAGAATTGTTGAACAATCAGTAAAATATTGTATAATTGTTTTTAAAAATACTTTCTCAAGTGGATGAACTATTCTATTCATCTTAACACCCACAATTTACTTTTTTCAGTTTTTTATCCTTTTCAATTCGAAATTCGATGAAACTCTTATTTTAACATCAATTTTCGTTTTTTATGGTTTTCAAAAAAAATTCAACTTTTTTTATTAGTATTTTTTAATTTTTCTTTATTAATTGAAAAAATTTATATTTTGTTAATGATGTTTTATATCCTTATTTTTTGTTTTTTGCTTACCTTCTTCTTTTTCTTTATGTCTCAGTTTCATACTAACTTATACTTAAATACAAAAAATAATTCACACAAATTTTTTTCTATTAAATAACCAAAATTAAATATTAATATTTTATAAATAACAAAAATTAAAATAAAAAACATTGAATAACAAAAAAAGATATTAATTAATGTTATTGACTTATATTTATTCTATTGAGACATTATCGTAATAAAATTCTTGGTAAACTCATCACAACATATTCTCTCTGTTATTAGAGAAAAGAAAGAAATATAAATAAATACATAAAAACGATTAAATTATAAAAAATAGTTGTTAATAAATGAAATCCGGTGTTTAATACGTTCATTCTCTCTTGTTAATTCTGTTATTTTAAATTTTAATTCACAATTTAGTTGTGAAGCTATCTCTAATTTACTTCCAGTCCAATGTTTTAATTCATCAGTAGCAAATTTCATATTTGCAGAGTTGTCTATTTCTTGTTTTCCTTTAACTAAATTAAATATTTCTTGAAAATCACCATTATAATCAGAACTAAGTGTAAATAAATTGTCTTTTAAAAGCAGTATCAACTCATTTAATGATCGCTCTTGTTGTTTTAAGTTTATCATTCCAACTTCAAAACCAACAGGAGAATTTACTACATTATCATAAAGATAATCTAAACTCAATTTTAATTCATTAAAAACATCTGTTGGATTTCCTTGTTTTTTATCTTTATCCTCACCTTCTCTAATCCATTCTGAAACACATTTTTGAAGTGATTTAAGAATATATGGATGTTTTAAGAAAGGGACAAAAAGATAACGAAGGAACATTAACGTAGAAAATATTTGTTTCTTTTTTGTTATATCATCTATAACTGATGGAGAAGAAAGAAGACTTTTGATTACCTTTCTTTGATGACATGGAATGTAAGATATACTCTCTGTTATAAATCTTGAATAAGAATTGATAAATTGTTTTGTACACACCTGATCATTACAATCAGGCATTTGTTGTTCTCCATTTTCTATTTGTTTAATAATAGCAGAAGTAGTTTTTGTTAGATACTCATTGCAATAAAAAAATAAATAAAAATTATAGAATCTGATAAATGGAGTATTTCCTCTAAACAAAGGAGTACCTGCCTTAGCTTCTTTGATTTCACGTCTTCCAACTTGACATAATAATTGAGTAATTTTACCACGTGAAGAATAAAAAATAAGGAATGGAATTACTCTTTTTTCATCACTTCCATTCTTTAAAACCTAAAGTAATTTAGAGTAAATTTCGTAATTTACCTAAGGAATTATAACAAACTTTATCACAATAAGAATATAAAAGCATAGGATTATCTGAGAATAATAGTTTTCTTAAGACTTCTTCTGGTTGATTCTTACTAAACATAGAATTTACTTTTGAAGTGTTGAATGAATTTCTTCTTTTTTTGATCTGAGACCCAGAATGTACACAAGTTGAATGATTTTCAGAAATAATAGGATCATTTAGGAAATTAGAATTATAAAATTTGAGGCTTAAACGAGAGGACATGTCTCTAATATTCAAAACAGGAGATCTGCTTAAATTAAAGTTAGCCTTTATACCAAATAAAAGAAATTTTGAGGGGGGTAAACGCCACTAGAAAATTGACAATGTTCTCAGAGTTTTCTGCTATACCTATTCTAATAGATCAGAAGCGAAAGGTATAGAAGGTTATGAGTAGTAGACATTAAAAATAACTTAATTCTTTATTGAATGGGAAAAGAAATACTGAATAAAAACGAATCAATAAATGCCAGTTAACTCAAAGAATTGCGGTAATTGTATACAACCTATTTATAAAATGGTGCATGGTTGTTAATGAGCTTTCTTTTTTTATTATTCAAATAATTAATTTCATGGTTTAAATAGAGCATATGTTTAATAATTCAACCGTTGAAAATATTTTAAATATTTTTGGTTTTTTTTAGGTTTATCAGTTATTTATTTTCAAAAAAATTATAGTCTAAAACTTGGAGTTGAATCATGCTCCGTTAAAATATTTTGTGTAATTTAAAAATAGATTTGGCATTTTTATTCACTTATTTTTTGTCATTTTATGTTTTCATATCAAATTAACCCCATATTGAATTTTATCGTTTTTCTATTTATAAAGTTCGTTAAAATGAGTTAATTATATTTTGTTTATTTCTTTTAACGATGAATAAGAAATAAGTTGGTTATTTTGTAAATATTCTAAATTTAATTAATTACACTTGACTAAAAAAATGGTATAAAGTAGTTATATAGAATAAGTTCTAACAGACAGAAGAGTTGTTCATTAAATAATAATCAAATTATAATAAATAGATAAGATAAGGGATATGGAATTGAAACAAAGGATCAAAATAAGCAAGAACATACAAATACAATAGGTAAATTCATATTCTATTAAATTTATTTAATAAACATAAACATAAAAAGAGAATAATAACTGGTGTTGGAATATTTTTAATTAAAAGAGTATAACAAATTATATGAAGAATTGATTGAATGTTGTCTTAAAAATATATAAAAACTATACTTGTGTTGGTGAAAAATTTTCAATAAATTCTATAATTAGTTAATGAAATAAATAATAAGGAAATATACAATTCAATAATATTAGTGTGTTTAATTGAACAATTGAAGTATTATATGAAATTTGTAGTTATTTAGAAACTAGCATTAATATAAAGTGTATTAAGTGAGGTTTATAAGTAATGTTGTTAAGTGGTATTAAAACATATTAATTTTATTTTTATCAATTCATTTTTTTAATAAAACATGATAAATGCGTTTATATTGATTAAAGTATATAGATCAAATAAAAATATTTGATAACTTAAAAACCACCCAGTGAACTGTTGTGACGAGTATTATGTAAATAACAAACGACTCTTAAAAATATTAAAAAATATCACCTTACCAAGTTTATGATAAATTATTTGGGTTGGGACTATTGTTAATCAAAGTTATAAACAGATGAACCTATTAAAAAGAACTGTTTGTACAATTCATTCTTGTGTTTTAATAATGACTGATCTAATTAATTCAACTATACTATAAAAATTAATAAAAAAGTTAAACAAATTTGTAAATGATAATAAGTGTTATAATAAAGGATTAGTAGTTTATTCTTTAATACTTTAATATATGAAAAACTAATAATAAATTAATTGCTGATAAGTATGTTTAAAAAAATACATAAAAATATAAAGTACGTACATTTGAAAATATTCAACTTATTATCCTGATTTAATTATTAATATGTTTTTACCAAATAAATATAATGGTTTTAAAAACAAATTTATTTAGATAATAGTTATAATTCTTAAATTTCATTATTTCAAACGAATCAATATTCTGTATTTATTAATTCTTCATTCATCTAAATTGTCAAACAATTATATCATCATATGTTTTTTGATACTGAATTTGTTGATATTTCATTAATATCTTTAATCTAATATCAAAAAAAAGAAAAAGAATAATCACAAATAATTCTATTCCTATTGTCAAATTATTCGATAGATGTTAATCATTTATTATTATGTTTTGTTATATTATTTATTATTTAGTTTGTAATAATC